CATTTCATTCTTTGTCAATATAATCAAACCATGGTCTTAATCCGACTTTCTCTACAACGCTACTATTCGTAACCCTGTCTCTTCTTGTGTTGTTAATGACCTTGCAGAGACAACGCATTTCACATGTAGTTTTTTTTCTGTTCTATTGCACTATTCACTGTCCATGTTTGGAATTGACAACATTAAGTAGGCATAAAGATGTTTTTATTTATTTGCTGCTTTGAATCATAGCAAACAGGTCACCCCATAGTTGCTCTGCTCCAGTGGCAATTAAAAAAACACACACACAAAAGATTAACAGACTGCTGTCTCAGCATATACACTAACATACACGCGCATTAAAAGCATACGGTAGCCATCCGTAGTGCATCATGGATGGTAACAGAAGTTACCAACAGATCAGCAGTTTGTACACGCGAACATTTTTAATCACATAATGACACCACCAATATTGCGACAACAGGAATTTTCTGAATCTACAATTCACACCACCACGTTGGTCACAGTAGAAAAACATTTTAAATGAAATCAGCATCTCACAGTGTCACGCCATGCACTCAACTCAGAAAGCTGGGCGACGAAACTATCCTTTCAGTTTACAAATGGAGCAAAAATGCACCGGCCACAGTCTGACAGAAGCAAGTAGTGACAAAACATGGCAGCGGTGGGATTTGAACCCAAGCCTCCAAAGAGACTGATGCCGTAAGCCAGCCCCTTAGACCCCTCGGCCACGCTACGGTGTCTCTGCATATTCTTGCGCCTCCCAGGTGCTTGGGTGATGAATTTGTTCATCTTTTTTCCTTCACCATTTTTCCATCTCTCTAACTGCACAGCTGTATCCTCGAATGCAAAAGTGTGAATCAGTCACTGGATGACGTATGTATCGGTGTCAGTGTAGCTGTGTTCGTAACATCACAGCGCATAAACAAATGGCTAAACAAGTTACAGGAACATGTTTTCGGCATATAATAAGGTAGAGTTTGACTATTGCTCCTAATTTCGAAAATAGTACTGTGCGTTTTGCTTCGTTTGTTTAAAATTATGAATGTATGAAGATGCAAGGATATTTCGTGCGTTTTATATACTTTTATACTTCATCATCATCATGTAAAAGGTCCTCTGCAGAACGTCGCTCTCATCACAGTCTGCCTGAAAGAAACTCTGTCTCTCGCCAGTTCTCCCGCCTCATGCACTTTCACACTCCTGGAGTCACTTATATACTGTGTCCATCTTCGTGTCGGTCGGCCCCTGCCCCTCCTTCCTGGTACCATGCCTTCTGCTATAATTTTTTCCAATCCGTCGTGGCGCTTGATATGACCAAAATATTTCAGCTTTCGAGAAAGGATGCTGTTTATTAGCCAATTTTCCTTGATGTTCAGATCTTCTACTTTTAGTAAATAAAAATGCTTTGACTTAAAGAAAGTGAGGAAAACTGTAACAATTTCTAGGTTTTCATGTGCACACTGAGCAAAATAGGTTCCATAACATATTCAAGAATGTAACGGGACTAGGGTGATATTGACTATTTGACCTATCAAATGCAAACCTTTCTAATGTATGAAGCTAGGAAGTGGTAAGTAGGTTAAGGACCCATTTTACTTTTTGGCAGACAGGCGTATTTGTGCTTGACTCATATTCAATGTAAACAAAACACCGGGTGCATTCACGTAACAGGCTATGTTTGTGATAATTTGTGTCAGGTCAACATACGAGCCATAAGTTCATTATTAAATATCCCCTAACATGAGAATTCACACCCAAGATCTTCCGAATGGTAAGTAAGTGTCGAGCTACTGCTCTGTCACAGCATCTGGTGGCGTTAGCAAAACATTGTAATTAGCCAAGGCATGCAAATGTGGTGCTTTGCTTGTTCTGTGCATTTATCAGTTTAAAACACTTTAGTTTCCTTATCTTGGTCTTGTATTGGTATTATCTGGCTGTTTCTGATATTTCTAGGAAATTATGTGTTCGAGTCGCCGTGGCGTAGCGGCTAGACGCTCGCCTGCGGGATAGAAGGTCGTGGGTTCAGGTTCTGATGGAGCCGGATATGTTTTTTTTTTAATGACGAAGGTTCCCCGGTCTACCCAGCCTTGAGTGGGTAACAGGTGCGGTTCGAGAAAGTAATGGCGGCCGGCTTGATGCTAAATACATTACCCATCAAGTGCCGATTGGTCTAAAAAATAAAGGTCTAGGCGGGTATTCCCAATAGTCCTGAAGACGTTGAAAAGTGTTCTTTTTTTACATATTCTATGTTCAGTGTCTTGCTTTTTAACACCACTGTCGAAATCAACGCTAGGCTGTCTGTTGTTAGATCATCCACAACTCTGATCCAACAAGGTACTTCTGCTTTAAAAAGCGCGTTCGTAACCAATGAGGCTATTTTGGCAGGTACAGAAGATTAAAAAGAACCGGCACCCCTTACTTTGGCGAACATTGCTGGGTACCCGTTCTAGGTAGGGTCGACCTAAGTCCCAGAGTTAATTTGTGTGTGTGTAGGGGGAGAGGGAGAGGGGGGGGGGGCGGTTAAGCCAACACCGTATGAAAAAGATCCCAAGAAAGTCGGGCTGGCAAGCATTTTCATTGCGCAAAGCGGATGCTAGTTGGTAAGTGTACATGTGTAATTTATTATCCTTGACATTCTGGTGTAAATTAAATTAGCATTTAGACAGAGAAGACAGGCGCATGAATGCACATGTTCGCCTGACTGTGTTGTTGTTTGTTGTTGTAGTTGTGTCTCGCAAGGTGCATTTAACAATATAAGCAGCGAGAAGAAAGATTTGTTTTTGATATAAAGACAAACATAAATAAGAGCCCCCTGGCATTACACAAACATACACACACGCAAACGATGCATTTATTTCCTCTCGGTCTCTTCTTCTTCCTTCCTTCCTTCCTTCCTTCCTTCCTTCCTTCCTTCCTTCCTTCCTTCCTTCCTTCCTTCCTTCCTTCCTTCCTTCCTTCCTTCCTTCCTTCCTTCCTTCCTTCCTTCCTTCCTTCCTTCCTTCCTTCCTTCCTTCCTTCCTTCCTTCCTTCCTTCCTTCCTTCCTTCCTTCCTTCCTTCCTTCCTTCCTTCCTTCCTTCCTTCCTTCCTTCTTTCCTTCCTTCCTTCCTTCCTTCCTTCCTTCCTTCCTTCCTCCCTTCCTTCCTTCCTTCCTTCCTTAACTCCTTCCTTCCTTCCTTCCTTCCTGCCTGCCTGCCTGCCTGCCTGCCTGTCTGTCTGACTGTCTGTCTGTCTGTCTGTCTGTCTGTCTGTCTGTCTGTCTGTCTGTCTGTCTGTCTGTCTGTCTGTCCGTCTGTCCGTCTGTCCGTCTGTCCGTCTGTCCGTTTGTCTGTCTGTCTGTCTGTCTGTCTGTCTGTCTGTCTGTCTGTCTGTCTGTCTGTCTGTCTGTCTGTCTGTCTGTCTGTCTGTCTGTCTGTCTGTCTGTCTGTCTGTCTGTCTTTCTTTCTTTCTTTCTCTTTCTTTCTCTCTCTTTCTCTCTTTCTTTCTTTCTTTCTTTCTTTTCTCTTCTTTCTTCTTTCTTTCTTTCTTTCTTTTCTTTCTTCCTTTCTTCTTTCTTTCTTTCTTTTCTTTCTTTCTTTCTTTCTTTCTTTCTTTCTTTCTTTCTTTCTTTCTTTCTTTCTTTCTTTCTTTCTTTCTTTCTTTCTTTCTTTCTTTCTTTCTTTCTTTCTTTCTTTCTTTCTTTCTTTCTTTCTTTCTTTTCTTCTTCTTTCTTCTTCTTACTTCTTCTTCTTCCTCCTCCTCCTTCTATTTCTTCTCCTCCTTCTCCTCCTCCTCCTCCTCCTCCTTCTCCTCCTCCTCCTTCTCCTCCTCCTTCTCCTCCTCCTTCTCCTCCTCCTTCTCCTCCTCCTTCTCCTCCTCCTTCCTCCTACTCCTTCTCCTCCTCCTTCCTCCTCCTCCTCCTTCTTCTCCTTTCTTTTTCTTTCTTTCTTCTTCTTCTTCTTCTTCTTCTTCTTCTTCTTCTTCTTCTTCTTCTTCTTCTTCTTCTTCTTCTTCTTCTTCTTTCTTCTTTTTTTTCTTGTTCTTCTTCTTCTTCTTCTTCTTCTTCTTCTTCTTCTTCTTCTTCTTCTTCTTCTTCTTCTTCTTCTTCTTCTTCTTCTTCTTCTTCTTCTTCTTCTTCTTCTTTGTCTACTCCTTCTGCTGTTGCTTTTTTCGTCTTCTTTATCCTTGTTATTACACTTATTATTCTATTAAATCAGAGACCTTCAAAATTATTCAGTTCTTTGTAAGCTGACCTACATTTCAAAGGAAGCTCCGAATTATTCGACTCTTGCGACAAGCGTTTTAGTAGGTAATGTGTCTATTTGTATTTTACCTGCAATAGGGCCCCGGAACCCACACGGGGAACACATTATAATTACAAGTGTGCTTTCTTTATTCCTAAATTACATGGACAGCGAGTGGGTTTGTTTGAACGGCACATTCGCTTCCTAACAGGGATTCTTGCCTGCCTGACGCGTAAATGTCTTCTACAAGATGTGTGGCCTATCTCATAAGATCAGAAGCCAGATTTATTACCTCCGAACAGAAGGGCTGGGAGGTGTGAATGTGGGAATGGGTTATGGGATAAGTATGAGTTATAAATCATTCTTCCTTTTCTTCTAATTTATAACAGTGAAGCCATCGAGCAAACCAGCGTTTCTCAGTTGAATGGCAGGTGTCTTACATTTAAGCCACCGTTCAACCAATATATACATATTGTACAAAATAAACATAAAACAATTTGCATTTAAAACGATAAAATGGTTAGTTGCGTATCCTTTACAGGACGTTGTAGAACCAACCCCAACAGCCCCTGGCTACTGTGTAGTTTTTCTAGGCAAATTTACGTCTAGTAGTTTGCCATTGATTTCTTGACGGTCGGCTTTCTTGATAGCGCTGTCGAAACCAACGCAAGGCGCATAGCCCGCAGCTGGAATCAAACCCGGCATTCCGGCATTACGAAGCATTCGCATCGAATTAGCCACAGAGCCGATTTTGAAACGATACCAATCTATTTCAGAGAATTTCACAAATGACTTTTACGTGTGTTCTCCTGCTGTTTTATGTTCAAGGTGAGTTAAATTATATGTGTCAAAACTTGTGATAGACGTGCAGATGATAGTTTTAGGATAATGTTATAAAGATATATGTATTTGTTTATCAAGTATTTTTATTATCGCTTTACACCGGGTAGCTTTGTACCTATCCAGCAATGGATCGCAGAATGCTTCTTACCAGACGCATAACGGCAAAAGTTAAAAATGGTAATAAAGATAATGATGGTGATAATAATGACAGAGCATTTGACTAACTGTACTAATATGTATTACAGTTTCAACATCGTCACCTGTACTGAACACTTTAACCAAGCCGGTGAGTATCAAATGCACACATGACTATGCTGTTTATGTCTTGAAGTATCATTGTGAAGTGTCATATTCAACATCCTCTTATTTAGAGAACTGTTTCCACACCAATGACGCATCGGGTACCTTGTCCTACACTTATAATTTTACAGAGCAATTGACACAGGCCTCGTGATTAGTTCAGTTCAGTTCATTCGTCCATCACAAGTGATGAGGACCACTCTTTCTTTCATCCGTCATGAAACTGCAGTTGAATTTTAGTTCGGGGGTGACTTGTAAGTCCAATACTGCCCGGAAGAGTCTAGGGAAATAAGGGCAGAGCATAGTGTCTGTAGATAAAGGGCCTCTTTGTCGATTCTTTCTGGCTTGCCTTCGCTGTTCAGCTGCCCTTGTTCTAGATGCCTCGCAGATCGTTGCCCTATTTCGGATACATGTGCGCCATAAAGTCCGGTCTTGTGCTGTAGCCTTGCAGGTGCTTTCAATTATGCCTTCAGTGTTTCTCTGAAGCGCTTTTTTCTGGCCACCATGTGTTGCGAGATATGATCAGCTTAACGCCGGTCGCCATCACGTCCCAGGATATACCTCTTTTACCAGCAATTCGCTGGGTGAAAGGAAATGAAAGGCCCGCAGACTAGTTATGTCTACAGTGGCTGGTGGCGGAATATGTATGGCCAGGGCAGATATACTGAACGTGTTGCATCATAGAGACTTTTCCACCGATTCAGATACAACGAAACGCCTGCTGGATATATGTATTAATGATGACAAGTATGCGGAAACCGCACACCGGGCATAGAAAAAAGATGGCCCATTTAACTCCTCCCTCCTGGGTACTTGAGCATAAAGACTCAAAGAAGGCGGTTGCATCAGCAGACCGAGCAGGCATGGGTCGAACAGATGGACAGATGTGCTAGGATGTCGATACGAACAACAAAATTACAAGAAGAAAAAAAAAGATCTTTAGACGGGGTCGACTTGAAAGCCGAAGGCAATTTAAAAAAAAAAACAATGTTGCTTCAAAACTGTCTTTCCGCGGGAGGCAAGCACTTAACCCCTATGCTACTGTGAATCGAGCTCCTGTTACTGGTATTTGGATGTGCAATTGCCACTCTTCTATTACTACACGCGCCACTTATGATGTTCTCATGGACGTATTCTTGAAAAGGTAGGTTGGTAAGTTGTACCCCACCAGGACATCACACAAGCGATAAACACCTAATGACACAAAGTACCACCATGCGGATGAGGAGAACCCCTGGAATGGTCCTGGAAACCTTTTTCAGCCGTTAGGCCAAAGTTATGGCCAGGCTATATTCAGGGCCCCCGGCACAAGCCGAAAGGGGCTTCAAAGTAACAAATAATTGCATCCCACAGGGGACGACTTATATAATATATTCTTCAGAAGCTGATGTGCGGTTTCCTTCTGCCCCCAGCAAATGGGTTCTACTTTTAGAATTGTCTGGCACAGGTGAAAGTGGGTTGGCTAAACATATTTATAGTTAACATAACCATAGCCAATATTACTCGGGGCGTTAAATCTTGTAAAGAGCTGTACGCGAATCACTTACTCCGCAGCTGCATCACGAATCAAAATATATTTTTGTGAACATTGCACTCAGCTTACTTAGCTTAATAAATCCCTGACATTGTTTAAAGCAAACACCATGTTCACGCCTTTCCGACAGAAGAACAAGAACAATAACGTGAAGCAGCTCGGGACCTTGCTATTTGTGATTCCAAAAGACACTTTCCTAACCTTAATTGTTTGTATATTACAATTTTTGTTTTTAGGCCCAACTACCTTGCAAATATTACTGTTACTGATCAAAGGCTTACACTAATTAAACGTCATTAGAAACAAAAATGGGCCAATTTAATGTTGACTAAATCATACATCAAGTGACGATGATTCTTACAAAATTTTGTCAAGTCTTATTGTTATGTCTCTCTGTCTGCATGTATGTATGTATATGTGTATGTATCTATATGTATGTATATAAGTATATATATCTATGCATATATTTTATATATATATATATATTTTTTTTTTTTTCAAAATACATTATAGTCAGTACCGTTGAAATGCCCTGCGTGTCAGAATTCAACTCTGTGTGGAGCAAAGTATGAAGTGTTCCCTGGGCATACAGCTTGCAAACCAAAATCTAGTGATGCTCGCCCACATATAGGTAAGTGCTCTTTCTGATCAGTCTGGTTTGTTGAAAAGAGTACAGACCTGTAGCCAGGGAAACAAGTATATGTCGAATTTTGCTCCTGTCTGACATCTTTAAATCGCAGACACTGCTGAGACTCTTAATTGGTTAATCTCGACCCATGGGGATCGTTTTGCTTGCCACCGTCAACTGGTCGCCACCACTTTATCTTTACAGATCTACATACTTCTTTACTTCTTGGGCTTGGACTGCTTGTTGCACTATTCGACCATTCATTAATTATAGCGTTTTGTCCATAAACGCTCACAGAGGGAGCATACAGTGATGACCTATTTTAATGCGTTGTCCGTAGCCGGCAGCCCATCTAGCATAGCTGCATGGCCCCGATAAACAGTTCCGTAGACAATTGTACATCCTATTGCTATCACACCCTGCCGACCAAGTGTATATCGTGTTGAACGCCTTGCCAGAGAAGCGTACGGCCATTTTTTTTTTAAAGATACTGTTCGATCATCACAATGATCTCTGGCGGGACGTGAAACCTGTTAAGGGCCTTTCTTAACAACCAAAGACGTACCGACTAAGCGTTCACGAGGTCCAACCAAATAACGTGAAGTTTTTCTCTTCTCTGCCTTTGCCTCCTGAATACTCTCCCAGTTCATAACCACTTGCTCAAGGCATCCCGTGGCGCCCCGGAATACCCCCTTTCTGGACCGTAGTGTCTATATACTTGTTCTGCACGAAGTAACTCGTTGGTTTGCGAGCTATGACTGAAAAGAATGTCTTACCCTCTTTGTTTGACCCTGGCCTCAACTAGGATAGATTAGAAGAGTCTCGCTCCATGGGAATGCAGACTCCTTTTGCCTTATGCCATTCTTTACACGTGTGCCTGCAGCTCCATCCGTGCCTTAGCAAATTTGGGTAAAGTTTATTAACCCTATAGCGGACACCACTCCTTCGACTTCTTCCAGGTATTTTTTTTTTAATTTGCCGTTGGCAAATCCCTTTTTTTTTCAGACTACTGTTAGTCTCCTCGCTGTCACATTTTGTTTCTGTTTTTGTTGGAGTACACGCTGGCCAGGCGACTCTAGTGCCTCTTGGTTCACAGTGAGAGTTCCCGATTTTAGTAGCTTGAAAAGACCTTAGACAGAGCTGGAGGGGTACCTAAAGAACTTTCCCAGGCCCTCTTGGTTCTTCTTTTGTTGCACTGGAAACCTTCAGCGTGACAGGGGGCACTGTATCTGCTCCATATGTGCAGCCAGACCTCGTGCAATCTTTCAGATTTTTTTTTCTGAAGCGGCTTCAAACCGTTTTCTTAGTGAATTCTTGTCTTCCCTGCACTGTTCACTATCTTTCTGCCATCTGCTTTTCTCACGACGTACGCCCATTTTCGTCTTCTCTACTGTCCCGAATTCGCGACACAGTAAGAGATTCCAACTTTAACTCAGCTTAAAATAGTGTCCTGTAAAGTTAAAACGCTCGACATCTGTTGACAACATCATCTACTGAGACAAAAATATATAAGTTTTGCACCATATGCATGAGGTGCCACTGGCGTGAAAGCATGTTTTACTTACTTACTTTCCTACGAAACAACTATGTGCTTTCCTGTACTTTTTTCCATGATATAGTTTCTCAATCCCTACTTCTTTTTTACTGGCTACATTAGCGCATTTTATCCCAATATTCGCTGTACATATGTTTCATCCATTGATCTTACTTTAGGTAACACATTTTTAGCACGTAGGAAGTTTGAGTAGCGCCCCTACGGTACTGAAGGGAATGCGGTCAATATAAGAGAGAGGCATGTCAACTGTTTTAGTCGTGACACGTTTATATCCGACAATCCTTAGCTGTTGCATTTGCATTCATATGTAAACTGCAGAGATATAGTTATTGTGCCCTGCTGTTGAGGCGAGTGCATGTGGCGACACGGTGTGCTAAGGATTGGTATGCTTTCGTTTGTAACCAACGTAGTTTGTGTTGCTAACAGCCAATTTAGAAAATGGCAAATGGCTTGATGTCAGCGAAATCGTGATGCCGTAATTAAGCGAATAACTGAATGTTTACCAACTGATCAGTTGTAACTGCTGCTTTGATTTAGAGTAAACTGCATATCTAGTGTTGGAATGTTTGTGTTGACACTTCGACTGCTACATAACCCATTTTAATGAATGTCTATGCTGTTGAATTTGCTGACTGCAGTCTGTGTTAAATTCTTTTTTTTTTTTCCAACAAGTGTCAATGACGGACATTCGGTGTGGTTTTCTTTAGCACAGGAATGGAGCAACTATAGGATACCCCGTTTGCTATGTAGTTGGAACTGCGATTCTCTGATTAACTGTTACCCGAAGAAGACAAAGGCGCTGATTTTAAAAGAGACTTGCTGAATTGGTTAACTGTCCGGTTGACTAGCTCAGTTGATTAAACCTGACTGCGTGTCTAGCCGTTCGGGCATGGCGACTCTCACACATAAATACGTAACACATTAAAAGCACAAACATACAGTTGCATTTGGTTCCATTTGTTGAGCGGCTAGACGCTCGCCACAGATCAGATGGTGGTGGGTTCGCTCCGTGGTGAAGCCGGACTTCTTTCAAAAATGACCTTGGCTCCCATGTCGACCCAGCCTTGAATGGGTACCGGTGCAGTCCCGGGAAGTGAAGTCGACCGGCGTGATGCTGACCACATCACCCATCTTGTGCCGATTGGTCTATAAAATATAGGTCTAGCCCTATATGCCCTATACGCTTAATGGCATGGAATAGGGGTCCTTTTTTTCCTTAGTATTTATGTGCAAACTGACTGTCACCCAAAAAATAACCATAAATGATGAAGAAATTGAAAATGTCACGAACTGAATATATAGGTTCTATAATAAACAGCAATGGAGACTGTTCGACAGAAATTAAAAGGAGGATGGCCATAGCAATGCAAAGATTGAACAGTCTTAAAAGTCTATGGGTTAGCACCAGCAAGGGGATAGAAATTAGAATTTTGAGAGCATGCATCTTCCCTGTGGCTACATACGGATGTGAGTCGTGGACTATCTCTCAGTCCTTAAGAAAGAGAACAGGAGCTTTTGAGGTGAAATGCTATAGAAAGACTCTCAAAATATCTTGGACAAAGAAGAGGAGAAATAATGACATCTTAAAAGATCTGAACATCAAGGAAGATTGGCTAATAAACAGCATTCTTTCTCGGAAGCTGAAATTTTTTGTTCACATCAAGCGCCACGACGGAGAAGAAAAAATTATAGCAGAAGGCATGGTACCAGGAAGGAGGGGCAGGAGCCGACCGACACGAAGATGGGCACAGGATATAAGTGACTCATTGAGTATGAAAGTACATCAGGCGGGAGAACTGGCGAGAGACCGAGTTTCTTTCAGACAGACTGTGATGAAACGACGTTCTGCAAAGGACCTGCTACATGATGGTGATTTACGTGTAAAGGTGTCTGTGCTATTTTGTCGTCAAGTGTCCACATGTAAAAGTATATGTATCATCAATATGTGTAAGTGTGGATCATTTAGGTGTGAGTCTCCTACTTTAGTGGTGGAAATCAGTTGGTATTCGTAATGACTAGGATTTTATTTGTGTTTCTGAGTGGATTTAACCAGTGCAAACATAAGTATCCATTGTCATGTGTTATCCTTTCTTCAAGTTATGACAGATGCTGAAAGAGATGCCATTGTTAGGCACCACAATGAGCTTAGGGGTAGTGTGAATCCAAAGGCTGCCAATATGCTCCTGCTGGTAAGTTTTACATCTTAGTAATTGTGGCAGCTTTAGTGCTTGCATATGCGTCTCAGAGGGCCACATGGGGTTACCGCAGGACTAAGACATATCAGGAAACTACAACAGGAGAAGAAGGACAACCACACAAGGAAACGGACCTCAGTGACAGACGACATGGCACAGTACCTCAGCAAGAATAAGACGACAAGGGATATAAAGAGAGCAACCCAGTCATGAATAACAGCCGTGCCCAGGACACAGAATAAACAGCCCCCAAAGTTGGACACTCATAACGCAGCCCTAACCAGGACGACATCATCAACAGAGAGGACGCAGTTATGTTCAGTTTTGAAAACAACATACATAGTTGGCGACAATACGCCACAACTGCTAGTACAAGAAACCATTTAAACTGAAGTTGAAATAAATAAAACGAGACCATAAATATAATCGAAGCACTCTTCAGCAGGGTTGAACGTGGTCAAATTGCCCCCACTAAATACTAAGATAGGATCAGATAACACAGGTTATGAAGAGATTATTGGAAGACATGGTCTATGAGTAAGGCATAAAAATGGAGAATTATTCACAACTGTTTGTGCTGGAAACCAGTATGTTATTGGTGGAAGTATTTTTCCCCATAAAAGAATACATACGGTAACATGGGAATCACCAGACCATAAGACAACCAATTAAATTGATCACCTATGTATTAACAACAAGTTTAGATCATCCATTTAGGATGTTAGGGCTTTTAGAGGTGCCGATGTATATACTGACCATTTTCTGTTGGTAGTCAAAACAAGTTGAAACGTAACAGATACATAGGATCTTATAATCACAGAAACCAGTAAATGTAGGTTATCTCAGGAATAAGGAGTTTAAGGAACAATTTTTAGTAACAGTCTCTAATAAGTTCCGGGTGTTTCAGCAGTTGGCTGAAGATATAAACACTGAAGTCTGCTGGGATCAGATCAAGAGAATCTGGAGTGAATCTTGTGTAGAAGTTCTCAGTAAGAAAGAACGGAAACATAAAGCGTGGGTAACTCCAGAAACCATTGAATTGTTTGAAGAAAAGAAAAGTAAAACGGCAGACTTAATAGCAAAACTAGAGCTGCTAACGCTAGACCTCAGCAAAAATACACATAAGCCAATAAGGAAGTTACGAGGCGTATAAGGGCAGATAAAGTGACATATTTAAATGATCTAGCACATAAAGCAGAGACAGCAGCAGGAAAAGGAAACATCAGAGACCTTTACAGTAACACAAGACAATTAGTAGTTAAATATAGTCAGCCAACTGGATCAATTAAAAATAGTCAAGGAAAGGTACCATTAACACTAAAGATCAAATGGACAGATGGGCCGAATTTTTTTAAATACTTCTAAATAGACCAGGCCCTGAGGTTCCTCCACATATCCAAGCTTTAGAAATGAAACTGGATATCAACTGTGAGATACCATCTAAAGAGGACATGAGAAAAGCTTTTAATCTTCTCTATGAAGGAAAGGCGGCTAGTCCAGATGGTATCCCGGCAGAAGCTATTAGGGCCAACATAAAAACAAAAACGAAATAGCTACATAGATTATTTAGTAAAGTCTGGGAGACCGTAGAAATACAAGCAGACTGGAGAGAAGGCTATCTTGTAAAACTGCCCCAAAAAGGTGATTTACAAGAGGATGAAAACTAAAGAGGAATTATGTTGCTTTCAGTTCCTGGAAAAATATTAAGTAGAACTATTTTGGAAAGATTAAAAGATGTTATGATACAAAGCTAAGAGATGAGCAGGCAGGTTTTCGGTCAAACAGATCATGCACTGACCAGATAGCCACATTACGTATAATAATAGAGCAAGGCATTGAACTGAACTCACAACTTTACATTGGATTCCTAGACTATAAAAAAGCACATGACAGCATAGATAGGAAATCTTTCTGGAAATTGATGGGACACTATGGAATCCTACAGAAAAATATTTACTTAGTAAAGGCAACATAAAAAGGCATAAATGAGGGAAAGATACCAGATACATTTGAAAAAAACAAAACAAGTGGGCGACAGGGCTGTCTTCTGTCGCTTCTCTTATTTTTACTGGCAGCGGGCTGAATTATGAAAACAGTAACTGCTAACACCAAGAATGGAATTCAGTCGACCCCTACAAAATAGCTTGATGATCTGGACTACTTTGGTGATATATCTCTTATGTCCCATTCACGGAATCAGACGCAAGACAAATTAATTATACTTGATGCAAGATCACAACAGCTAGACCTGAAAATCCATAAAGGAAAGACAAAGACAATGAACATAAATCAGGCAAAAAGTAATGTGGTTTCACTTAATGGCACCCTACTCCAAAACGTGGTGTCGTACACCTATTTGGGCAGTATTGTAGATAAAGATGGGAAAACTGACAGAGATATTAAAATAAGAATACAAAAAGCAAGAGAAGCTCTCATTGCAATAGGAAATTTGTGGAGGTCATAAGAAATACTAAATTTGAAATGTTTAATTCTAATCTCAAATCAGTACTTTTGTATGGAACGGAAACACGGAGACCAACTAAGGCAATTGCTAATAAACTACAGACATTCATTAACTGGTGCCTGCGCAGAATAGATGGAATTAAATGGTATGATAGATTAATCCCTAATGTAGAGCTTAGGGAGAGAACTAAGGAAGCTCCAGTGGACCAGGAGGTATAGAAAAGACGCTGGCGTTGGATAAGACACACGTTGAGAAAACCGGAGAACAATATAACTGGAATATCTTTGAACTGGAACCCACAAGGACATGTGAATAAAGGAAGGCCAAACAATACATCGAGAAGGGAGCTGGAGAATGAAGTTAAATGGGAAGGACATGGGAAGAGTTGCATTCGATAGCAAAACATAGAACGACTTGGCGTGAGTTGCTTGGGGGCCTGTGCTCTATTGTGGGCTAGAAAGACAGAAGAAGAAAGTACCAATAGTTCATTTATTCTCCATTTTTCACGAGATAACTTCCGATTTTGTTCACAACCTTTCTCAAATATTTGATTTCATGGGCGACTAGTTTTCTTTCGCGTTCTTTGGTCAGTGTACAATTCTGACAGAGGTAACCTAAAAGTACAAGAAAGATAGCATTACAATTTGTTTAAAAAGAAAAAAAAAAGATTTTTTTTGGAACAGCTTGGTGCTGCAATATTGTGTAAATTAATAAGTAACGTTATTTTGTTGGATCCTCGTTTCTCTCTCTCTCTCTCTCTCTCTCTCTCTCTCTCTCTCTCTTTCTTTCTTTCTTTCTTTCTCTCTCCACCCCCCTCTCTCTCTCTCTCTCTCTCTCTCTCTCTCTCTCTCTTAAAAAGTATTAATTTTTGGGGTTTGTATGAATGTCAGTGTAAGATTATACATAAGTGTAGGTGTGGATAAGTGTGGATGAATACGTAAACATGTGTTTTTATGCATGATTGTGTATATGTGTATACAAGAGTGTGTAGATGTTTGTATGAATGTATATCTGTGTATGCATGCATGAGAGTGCATGTGTGTTTGGATGTGTACTTATGTATAAGTACATGTGTGTATATGTATATATGTTTGTCTATGCATATATATATATATATATATATATATATATATATATAATACATATAAAAGATGGGTGCTTAGAAAAGCCGAATATAAAAAAGGCATGTGTGCCCAATTTGTAACCACTTTAAAAATAAAGTTTGTTCCTTCGTTCGTTCTCTCTCTCTCTCTCTCTCTCTCTCTCTCTCTCTCTCTCTCTCTTTCTGTGTGTGTGTCTGTCTGTCTGTCTTTCAGTTTAGTGTATAATTTTATTTAACGATGCTCCCTTAGTTTCTTTATTCTCGCAAATGATTTAAAGTGTTTGTTTTCCCAGTTTGTTGCTGTAGTTCGGTTTCTGCTAAATTTGCTTACAAATATGTTGATATCTGACTAGAGATGGGACAAGGAGCTGGAAATGTTAGCCAAGCGCTGGGCAGACGTGTGTATTTTTCAACACGACCGTGTCAGAATAATACCAGGTAACTTTGTTTCACCATCATCATCAGGCACCGGTTTCTTTACAGAACGTCACTCTCATCACGTCTCCCAGGAAAGGAACTCGGTCCCTCCCTTTCTCTGGTCTCTTTCTGCCTTATTTATCTTTAATATCATACACCTACCTTTAATGTAGTATTATCATAGCTTATCAGTGTGGATTGTTGTGTTATGTTACCCGGCGCTAGATAAGTTGGTTAAACCAGCTTCTCGGTGACCAGGTGAGAAAAACTCAGTGCGGTCCAGAATTACTCTCGGAAGTATGCAGAAAAGCTAAATATTTTCCCAGAATTGCTGTATCTATCATGGAATCGAGGCCTAAGGGTTGCGATATCCATAGTACGTAGCCAAAGGGTTTACAGCTCATGGTTTCTGGATAAAAAAATAAAAAACAAAGTAATATTACAGTTAGTAGCTTATCCTATACATGACGTTGCAGATCCAATCCCAGCATATATTGTATGTTATAGTTTTTTTTTTTTTTTTTTTTTTAAAGTTATGTTTAGCAGTTTGGCATTGCCCACCAAACGGTCAGCTCTTGGTGCCACTGTCGAAACCAACGCAAGACAACACGGCATGTTGTTGACATCTCCAACAACTTCTCTACTGTTTCTTCTCTAACTCTGTTCCAACGCAGCTTGTCCGTTAGCTATAATTTATTTATTTAAATTTTAAATAAGCTTTTCCTTCTCACGTCGTGCCGAAGAAATGAAGCCTAACAAGGCAATGGGGTGTGGGACTGGGGGGGGGGTGGTGCTGGGCTTGTTTTATAATTTTCTAGGGTGGTGTGGGAGAGGGTGAAGTAGCTTGAGCCTTGCTAGCTGCACAATAATAATAATTTTAATATTATTAATATTAATTTTTTACATTTCATTATGTGCCTAAGGTGCTCAGACACATATAAAAAAGTGGTCAGAACGAAAAATGTAAAAGGTGGAGGGGGGGGGGGGAACTTTTTACTTCCCCCTCACTGTCTTTCGCGTTTTCTGCTAAATTTGGTGGGCGCCCCTTGAGCGCCCCCCCCCCCCACCCTTTTCCTATCAAAACGAATCGAAGTCTGAGCTGTAATCATTTTGTTAGAGGATTAAGAGGAACTTTCTAACTAAGTATTAAACTGTCCCTTGTCTCTTTCTTTACTGCACGCCTGTAAGTCTCTCTTTCTCTGGCGAGTTATCTAATCATATGAACTTTCTGGCCAATGCATTTTCGATGTCTTGTGTCTATTGTCGCTGAAGTCGGCTTCTGCTGTGTTTTCCGTAAACTAGACCCATTATCACTGTTCTCTCTAGGACACAATAAATGCGATTCATACTATATATATATTTATGCCATTTAACACATTGTCATTTTTATTATTCATCGTCATCATCACTGGTTTCCATTTGTGCCGTTATGTGGCATGGAAACGAACAGTTTACGATTGATTGCTTTATGGGCAGCACTTGCTATTTAATTCCGTGTCAAAGAAAGAAACTCTTTAATGTCATCAGGCTGGTTTCATTTTGGGCGACCACTTGCTTTAACAACAAGTCTTTTCATATGTAACTTATCTGTTGTTAGTGGTTCTGGCTGCGTTCTTCCTAGATGACCAAACCATCTGATCTTCTGTTTATCAATCAATTTGCTGCATGGTGTTGTTCCGTTCGCCTGTCTGAGAATATAATTTCTAACTGTGTCTCATCGGGTTGGACTGGAGCATTTTTTTCAGGTATCTCATGTCACAAGTGTTCATTTTACGTAAGTTAACCTTTGATATTGTCCGATAGTGGCATCGTGCTGGTAGCATATTCGGTCTGTAATAGGTTTCTGTAATAACGGTGTCAGTTGGTATATGAGTGCACTGGCTGGCTGGTATCTTGTTTCTTGTTTCTGTCTATTCTCCCGTCTTCCAAAAATATACTACCGGGATATTTAAACTATTTGACTTGCTTCAGACAAATACTTTTCAACCCTGTATGTAGCAAGCTAGGATTCTACTGATCTGCATGCATTGCTTCAGTTTTAGTCGTATTTTCTTTTATGCTGTATCTTCTGCGTGTCGAGCTTAGTCTGTTCAAATGGCCTTAAGTCTAATCGCCTTATTGTCATCATCATCTTGTACCCTGCCAGTTGATGTAGGCGCTCATGCGTCTGCACAGATCACGATCCCTGGTTGACTGGAACAGCTCTCTTGGTGATATCTCTTTATGCCTTCTTTTTTTAAAATCCCATCCAGCATCATATCTCTTGGTCTGCCTCTACCCCTTTTTCCACTTATCTCTCCAGTTGTCACGATGTTCTCCTATGTCTCTCTTCTCATTATGTGGCCAAAGATCAGTGTTTCTCTCTTTCTTAATGTTGTATATAGAAATCTACTTTCATTAGCCTCTTTCAAGCAATCGTTGTTAGTTACTCTGGCCGCCCAAGGTATTCGTAACATTCTTCTCAGAAACCACATCTCTGTTGCTTTCGTATTCTTTTTAATTTGTTCAGTGGCAATCCAAGATTCGATGCCATACAGCAGAACAGGTTCTATTTAACATTTTAGCACCCTGTTTCTGACATTAAATGAGAGCGATTTATTGCATACGATATTTTTTTTCATTTTCTGAAATGCAGCTTTCGCTTTATCTATTCTGCTTTTAATCTCTGTAACACATTTTCCATCTGGTGATATGATTGTTCCAGATATTTACATTTATTGACTTGATTAAGTCTTTTTCTTTCAACTGAGATATCACAACGTGGAATTATCTTTTTTTTATATAACCATTACTTCAGTTTTCTTAATATTAAATGAAAGTCCTTTCTTAGCACTCCCCATCCCCACAATAGCCAGCAGTTGTAAATCAGCTGCCTTTTCAGCTATCAAAACTGTATCGTCTGCATACAGCAAATGGTTTATATTGTATCCTCCAACTCTTAGTCCTGCATTCTCTTTAATTTCTCTCAAAATTATTTCACTTTGCAGAGAGAAAAAGTCGAGGGATAAGACTCATCCTTGTTTTACTCCTTGCTTTATCTGCTTAAAAGTACCCAATCTGTTTCCCACTTTAATTGTTACTATTTGGTTGCAGTATATGTTTTTAATTTTTCTGAGATCTGTCCTGTCCAAATTGATGTCGTCGAACATTTGTATCATCTCTTTATGTTTAACTTTGTCAAATGCTTTGGTATAAAGCACAAATTTAAGTCCTTTTGTATGTCTATTGATCTTTCTATCAGTGTTCGTAATATGTATATTGCATTACTTGTCCCTTTACCTTCTATAAATCCATTCTGCTCTTCACTCATTTCCATTCTTATTTTTCTTCTTGTTCTTCTCATATAATTCTAAGTAGTAATTTTGTGACATAATTTATTAAGTTGATTGTACGGCTGGTCCTTTTTGGGTAACGCGATAAATACAGATTTCATTATATCACTTGGAGTGTACCAAGTGTTATAAATGTCATTCAACAGTTTAGTTATTATTTCTACCCTAGATTCCCCTAGTACTTATAATTATTCTACTGAAATTTCATCTGGCCCAGTTGACTTTTTTATATGTTTAATAGCATCGCTAACTTCTTCATTTAGTATAGACGGGCCTTCTAAATGTCTTTTTTTCTGGTAATTCTGCTCTATTTCCGTCATATAATTCTCTTATCTATTCATCCCATGTAGTTATTACCTCCATTAAGATCTCTCCTGTTTTTGATTTCAGACATCCTGTGTTTACTCGTATATTTCTTCCAGTTAGATCGTTAATTTGTTTATGCACACTTTTTGCATTTTTAACAAGAGTGTGTTCATTTTACTGCATTGTTCATTTATCCACACTTCTTTTGCCTTCATACACGTATGCCTTATTTTTTTATTTGTCATATTCTTCTTTGTCATTCATACACTGATTTCTGTCACCCATTACTTTAAAATTTCTTCGTTCATCTATTTCTGTTAAGCTCTTTGTCTTCTTTCTGGTAAAAACACTTTGCTTGTTTGATATATAGACTCTTTCAGCATTTCCCACTGATCGTTTATCGTTTGTAGTTTTTGTATTGTACTGTACCTGTGCCTCACAATAACTCTATATCGCTCCTCAATGTCTTTATCCTCTCTTAGGATATCCTTGTTTAGTCTACAGTTTTTTTATCTCATATAATTAACAAAAGATTTAGAAATGCACTAACAAATGTGAAGACAAGACCTAGTGCTGACTGTAACAGTGACCACGTCCTGTTATGTAGAAAATTAAATGTACAACTGAAGAGGGGAAGGAAAGATGAAAAACTGTAGGAAAATTGTGGGAAAAAATCACTAATCGTCTGAAAACCGTAGCTCGCTTATTATGTGCGAATCTATTTCTTTATCTGGAAAGTAAAGTTTGCTCATATTGTTTATATTTATACACACAAAATTGAAATTGAAAATGTCACAAATTTTGAATATTTAGGCTCCATAATGAACAGCAATGGAGCAGAAATCAAAATAAGGATGGCTAAAACAATGCAAAGATTAAACAGCATATAAAGTTTATGGTTACGCAACAGCATAGTGCGCAAAAATAAAACTTTTGAGAGCATGCGTCTTCCCTTTAGCAACATACGAATGTGAGTTGTGGACTATCTAACAATCCTTTAAAAAAAAAAGAAAAGAAAATAGGGCTTTTAAGCTGAAATGCTGAAGAAACAATATCAGAATACCGTGGACAAGAAGAAAAGAAATAGGGGCATAGGAAGATCTGAACATCAAGGAAGATTGGCGGAAACTGAAATAGTTATATTTTTAGCGCCATGACGCATTCGAAAAAAAAATAATAATAGCAGAAGGCATGGTACCAAGAAGGAGAGGCAGGGGTCCACCAACACGAAGATGGGCGCAGGATGTAAGTGACTCCTTGAATATGAAAGTACCCGAGGCGGGAGAGCTGGCGAGAGACCGAGTTTCTTTCAGGCAGACCGTCATAAGAGCGACGGTGGCGCGGTGATTTATGTCACAGGCGTGAGGGGAAGTTAAGTCCAACTTGATGTGTATAAGGAGATACTCCGTACGTCACTCGGGCGCCAGTCCTTTACTATCCTGGTTGTACGGAACCTCACGCAAGACCCCTACAGCACGTCCTCGTCGTGCGCCACGGATAATGTCTCAAATGAGCATTAACAGAGCTGTCAGGGGATCTCGGAGTTCGGCGGCTCCCAGAGGTGATGTGTCCTTGTGGCTCTCATCAGCCCGCCCCCAAACGCTTGGGTGAAAAATGTTACCAAAACTCATTAGGAACATGAGTAGGTCTGCCAAACGTACAGCCAAAATTACAACCCTTGGTTAAAAGACTGCGGAGTAAAGAGAACATTGTTCACTGCACATCCTCTGTTAACCCTCAGTGTCGTCGTCACCGCGCTGAGGTACACCACAACAGCAACCATCCATAGGCTGGCCATCCTTGTACATCCCCGGTTAACCCTCAGTGTCGTCGTCACCGCGCTGAGGTACACCACAACAGCAACCATCCATAGGCTGACCATTCATGTACATCCTCGGTTAACCCTCAGTGTCGTCGTCACCGCGCTGAGGTACACCACAACAGCAACCATCCATAGGCTGGCCATCCTTGTACATCCCCGGTTAACCCTCAGTGTCGTCGTCACCGCGCTGAGGTACACCACAACAGCAACCATCCATAGGCTGACCATTCATGTACATCCTCGGTTAACCCTCAGTGTCGTCGTCACCGCGCTGAGGTACACCACAACAGCAACCAACCATCGGATGGCCAAGCCTAATTGTCCGACAAAACTAGATCATACGGATCAAAATCTGACCATCAAAATTTGTATTGAACTGAGAAAGACCGAATGTCCACACCCAAAGACCCCACTCGCCCGAGAAATTTAACGTGCGAGGAAAAAAGAATGTACCTATCTGCATGGTCACAAAAGTCCAAAACCCACGGGCTGCTCCCCGCTGACTTCCAGAGGGCGCAGCCCCTGTCGAGCGGAAGGCCTGATACGGTTGTGAGGTTAAGCAGGCATGTGCAGGACGTGACGATTCCTTGGGTGAGCCCAGAACCAGAGCGCCATGTGCTGGCTCTGCATGCATGGAAGCCTCCTTGGATGGCGGGGAATGCCCATGATCTGCCCCTGCCTTCCCTTGAGGGCTAACTGTTCCACAGGGGGCTGCCCCAAAGGGGTACTCCGAGGGCAATACCTGCGGCGAATGGGACAAAGTGGACACCACACAAATCAGGCAACGTCACGACCCACACAAAACTATGGCCACAGTCAACCTAGAAATAGGCCTGGCGTCTTCCCTCGAAGTCGGAGTACAGCTGCCCATGAGGCAGGGAAATGAAAAACGGTTGTACACGCAAAAATCAGGTCCAGGTGAAAGCCAAAAGTCCAAGCGGACGATTAACCGGGACCTTCCACTGGAATTCACAGCCGGTGATCGATAATAATAATAATAAATAATAGCGACGTTCTGCAAATAACCGCCTACATGATAATATACACACAAACAAATGAATATGTTTTGAAATATAATTAAATGTATAAATATTTGGTAACCTTTAATAGTTATTAGGGGTGAAGGTGAAGGGCGAGGCTGATGTGGTTGTCTTCGTTACTTGCTTGTTTCTTTGCCCAGCAATTAATCTACGTTTAGGACCCATTTCCAACAGACGTTTAATCAATTTTGGATTGTATCTGTGCGCCACTGATGTGAACAAGAAAAATAAAATGTATATATATATATGTGTACTAATTTGGGTGTGTACTTGATATTTTTAAGGCCGATTTCATGTCGGTCAGAACCTCGCTTGGGGAAGCTTTCCAACTTTTAAAGCAGCGACTGACGCCTGGTTTGCAGAAAAGGATGACTACGCACCATACTTCGGTACACGGCTGGAACATTTCCCTGAAGGAAAACAAATTGGTCACTACACTCAGGTATACATCATCATCATCATCATCCATTGCATTGCCATGTCTATAGTTTCCAAACGCATTTATAAAATAATATACTTTCTTAGAGGTCAGAGTGCATCTCCCTGAGTGACTAGAAACCAGCAGTCTGAAAAACTCCACCCTGGCTTTTTCCAGGGGTCCTAAATATAGCCAGGCCTGGAATATGACCTAACAACACTATCTGGAAAAAGATGTGCACGCAAAGCTCAAGTTCTTGAACATGACTAAAGTTCACAAGTGGAGGAACGTACAACAAGAATCTTCCGCTTGAGTTTTTGCCGATAAAGGCGAAGAAGAGTTAAAAGAAGGCTTTTAGGTGCAGACCGCACCATACACACGGCAATGAAGAATCTTTTCGCGTGGTCTTCCTTTATTTCTCGTCCCACAAACATTTGCAGTGATCACATCATGTTTCTTTTCTCCTCTTCCCATTGTTAGTTGCGTATCCTCTACGGGACGTTGCAAAACCAACCCCAGCACTTTTTGGCTGTGTGGTTTTTCTAGGCAATTTTACGTCCAGTAGTTTGCCATTGCTTTCTGGACAGTCGGCTTCTCGATATCACTGTCGAAACCAACGCATGGCGCAAGGACTGCAGCTTGGATCGAACCTAGCACCCCGGCATTACGAAGCGTATTCGCAACGCCCAAGACTGAGAATGTAAACAACAAAGAGTTTATAATCGTCAACCCCTCTTCCCATTACATGTCCAGTTATAATGAAGGTCTCCTTCAGTTGCTGGTGATCAGTGGTCTTCAGTCTTTTGCTGTTTTCCAGCTACAGATGGCGTATTAGGAAAAAAGAAAAGTCAAACATCGTTTTATTTTAGGGGCGGTTCTATGGCACATAGAACATTTATGTGCTTTCACAGCCAATGCATCTTCCATTTCTTGTATCACTCTTCGCATACGAGTGCCTCTGCCTTGTTTCTGAAAACATACCATACTTTTTATACTTTTATATATATATATATATATATATATATATATATATATATATATATATATATATATATAAATGTGTGTGTGTGTGTGTGTGTGTCTAATTTTCAAATATAATTTATGTGTGTAATGATATGAAGTGTAGAAAAAACAATTTTAAACAATTTGTTTACATAGCGAACTTGGGACCTTTAAGTCATTTTACAAAATTACCGGGAGGGTCCCCCCCCCCCCCCCCAAACAACAAAGGAATTGTAAGGGTTTTTAAAACTCCAGGTTCAGGTACCAGTAGCGGTAGCAGTAGTAGTTGTTTCTTTATCACTTGTGGTGGTGGCAGTAGTAGTATGTGTAGTTTAGTAGTAGTAGATAGAAAGTCATCATGTAGCAACCACATCAACAAACTAATTGGCTCTGGGTGTCCTAAAATCGTCTGCGGCAGCACTTAATGCAGACTCTTGGCAAAGAATGACGTAGTATATGTGAACCAGTAAAAGTAACTTGTGAAACAGTTAGGCAGCGGTTTTCAACCTGTGGGTCGCGACCATTTTGTGAGTCGAAAGACCCTTTCACAGGGGTCGCCATAGACCATCTGAAAACACATATTTATTGAAGTTATGAAGTAGCATCAAAAAATTAGGGTATGTCTGGGGTGGCTACCACATGCAGAACTGTATTAAAGGGTCGTTGCATTAGGAAGGTTGACAGCCACTGAGATGAGAGTAATCTCTGAATCGATCAGTGTATCTCACGAACTATGAGGCCCTAATTTGTTCGCTATTGCTTCAGATTGCGTGGGCGGAAACTTCTCTGATTGGCTGCAGCTCTGCAAAGTGCGGTAATACCAATTACTACGTATGCAATTATGCACCCGGGTATGTTATGGTCTTCCATATGTACTTTTAAGCCTACGTGAATTTATATTTGTTTGTTAACAGTTTCCTATTTGTTGGTCTGGTTATCTGTCTTTCTGGGTTACAAACGTACATGCTCACACTCTTTCTTACTTGCTATTGCTAGCACATAGGCCTATCTACATAGCTAACCAATACATCCATCTTTAAAATATCGTCTTTTTCTTCTTTCGTCTCTCTGATAACAATGTTTTAGTCCAATCTCGTTGTGTTCAGTATTTGTCTTTCGCATGTCGGGCGGCTTGGGTGACGGATTTGTTCACCATTTTGCAGGTTTTAGCAACACCGTTTATCAGTCTCTTTTGTGGTCTTTCTCTAGCCTTCCTCCTAGATGTTCTGCTGTAAAAAATGTTATATACAGTTTGGTCTGGCCGCATTCTCACTAGATGGCTGAGTAATTTCATTCTTTGTCTGTCAATGTAATCCAGACATGGTCTTATTCCAACTTGCTCTGTAATGCAGGTATTGGTAACACTGCCTCTTTGTGTGTTGTTACTGACCTTCCGGTGACCACGCATTTGTTTTGTTCTAGTGCGCTATTCATTGTCCATGATTAGCCCTGATAACATAGCATAGAGATTATTACGCTATTAAACATTTGCTGTTTCGTAGGAAGGGAGACATTTGGGTATCTAAGCAATGTGGCTAACTAACTGATAGGTGACAGCATTTGCCTTCTATACTCTAGCTATTATTTCTCTATCGAGTTTGTCATCCTCCGTAAATATATGTCCTAGATATTGTAATTCTTGTACTTGTTTGATTGTAGTACCGTTAACATGAACATTCATGTTATTATATTTTCTCATATCCATATTACCTCAGTTTTCGCGGTGTTTATTATCATGTCATACTGTGTGCAGGTTTGAAGAACGAGTCAATTTATAGTTGTAATGTCTATTTTTGAAATGTATTAGAAATTGATCGTCTGAGAAAAAAAGTAATTCATGGATTTCTTCAGTGTCTGTATTTGACTCCTGTGTAATTCGATCCATGTAAGCAATAAATAGCAACTGTGAGATGATACATCCCTGTCTGACACCTCTTGATATGGGAAACCAGTCTTCCTCCTTCTGTTGTTCTTACTATGCACTTGACTATTTTGATAAAGAGCCACGATGTTTCCAAACAGTTTCTCTTGAATGCCATAATCTTCTAGAATTGCCCATAGTTTGCTTCTACTGACTCGATCAAACGCCTTCTCTAGGTCTATAAATCTAGGATGTTGACTTTTATCATATTCAACAGACTGCTCGCATTACTGCCCTCAAGCATATATTACATCTGTACAGCTCTTACCATTTTTTAAAACCGATCTGTCTCTTACGTACTGGTCGATCTCTACATTCCAGTATTTTTGCAAACATATTTGCATGGATGGAGTATGTTACACAGTCGTCTCGTTTTTTTAATTTAAAAAAAAAATTTTTTTTTAATGCCGACAACTATTGCTCTCTTCCGGTCATTTGGAGCAGTCCATGCCTCCCAAGATGTGTTTAAGAATTTGGTTGGTTAACAAAAGGAGCATTTCTTCTGTAATATCTGTTGCCGCTGCCTTGTTCTTTTTTTTTTTTTTTACTGGCATTTTTAACTTCATATTCCAAAATCTTTGATTCATGGTCTATCGTGAATACATTACTGTTTGTTTGCGATTTATGTTTGTTTTCATGGGTATTTGTCTTTTTGGGTTACATACGTACCTGCTGACACACTTTCTTTTGCTCGCAAATATATATATATATATGTATATGTTTGTATAAATATGTGAGACGTATGATGCCTAATCTTGTAGGGCAACAGTACTATTGTTATAATATTTGACTCCTAGAGGTAATGTCACGCCTTTCACGAAGCCATACATACCAGCGACTACTAGCGGTGAAATGTGTAAAACACGCACGCAAGATGGACTGTGCGGTAAGCGTGTACCTCATGATATTCGTTTTCACTGTGTAGGGCTTTCTCTGTCTATAGTGAAATAGCAATGAGGGAAGTCAAGGATACTAGTTGGAGGTTATAATATAAACAATCTTCGTTATGCAGATGATAGTAGACCTACATCAACTATTAGACAATGTGGTACCAGAGAGTATCAAAAAAAAAGAGAGAGAGAGCGAGAGAGCGAGAGAGAGAGAGAGAGAGAGAGAGAGAGAGAGAGAGAGAGAGAGAGAGAGAGAGAGAGAGAGAGAGAGAGAGAGAGAGAGACTTTTCTTGAATGGCAAGAAGAAAAACACACTGTTTATATCAAAGAAGAAAATTTCAAAACGTGATATAGCACTAGAAGGGAAAGTGCTTGACCAAGTCAATAAATTCAAGGATCAGATAGACGAGTTGTGACAGAAATTGAGAGCAGAATTAGACAGACAAACGCAGCATTTCATAAGATGAAAAATATCTTATTCAATAAATAATAGTGAATGAAAATCTAAATCTCCAAACAAAACAGAGAATACATGAACCCGAAATGTCTGAAGCTGTGAATGATGCAGCAGCAGTTAATAGAAGCATAACCTAAGGAGACCAATGTAATATAGAAGAGGAAGCTACTGAGAATAAAAAGTACTATTACCTATTAAGGACTTGAAAACTAAAACAGCATTTCAGGAAGAACAAGCAAAAGACAAATCACTTAATAAATGCTTCGGGTTATTAAATGCCTATCCGGAAAGGAAGAACAATTAATCTTGGAATTTTAAGTTTAAAAAAGAAATAATTTAGTGAGAATTTATCAAAAAGATTCTAGCATTGTCCAAAAAATTGTTATGCCAACAAAATATAGACAACAAGCAAAGGCAATGTCACTTGATTCTATTTTGCTGGACATCTAGTTATTACAATTGTTCGCAATAATTTTCGGCCAGGTTTTGTGAAACGTGTGAAAGACGATGTGAAATCGAGCGACATGTTCCAAAACAACAAAGAAATGAGTAAATCCAATAGCCCTAGTTCAACGGGGCCTAATGACAGATGGATAATTCTAACAGGTGGCTGTGGACATCACTAGACCTCTACCATTTATGCCATCCCAAGAAAATATATTTATTTTTACATTGATAGGTGCTGCTAGTAATGGTCAGAGGCAATTCCGGTAGAAATGTGTCACTAGTTAGTGTATTCAGGAAGCCTTACTGCTAATATTTTTCAAGAATAGGGTTTCCGGATATCATTGTTTATGACAGAGGTACACAGTTCACCTAAGCTGTTAAAAGAACAATTACCAGGTCTACATCGCTGAAAGAATTCATGTGACTATACCTGACACCATAAGGTCCTGGTGCAGACTATTTTGCTTTTCTCAAAATTTGTTTGATATCATCCACTTGTATCATGTCTTCATAATGCATATTCTTCGAGGTGCCAGCTCAATCCTTTCTAATTGCAACCCTGATGTCTACATCATTATGATCTGTCTGAGCTATAAGCCAACGGAGAAAAGCCTCCCATTTCTTCTTGTCTGTTGTCATACGCACACAATCGTCTTAATAAATTGTTCCGACTGTAACAGGCCGATATTTTCTTTGCATCTACCTTTGCAGTTTTCAGAATTTCCTCAATGTTTTATCGCCTCCCATATCATTCACAAAAGTTTCCCACTTTGCTCTCTTGGCTTCTGCAGCACAGCGCTGGAAAACCTCCACCTTATCTTTTTTCACATTCTCCGCCATCTCCACTTCCTCTCATTAGCTTGAGGGCGTCTGTCGTACTTTTTTTAGCTGCTTCACTGCGGCTCTCTTTGCCTTCCACGTCTGTTCTACTTCTGGAGTCCACCATTGTAGCTGTAAAAATTAGTTCAGCATTTCTGTTACATGCTCCCTGTCTGAGGTTTCCATGTGGTTGTTGGTCCACTTATACCGAAAGGTCTTGCGTGCTCTCCCAACCTTAACCTTACTGGGTATAGAAATCAAGACTGAACATAGTAGGTGATCACTCCCATGACAGTTCAGGACAGTCCATTTGACATCTAAAACCGACGACTGAGAGACAAATGTCAAGTCAATGGCTGTGTCTGCATCTCCAGACCTCATTGCCGTTCAAGTCGGCCTCCAATCATTGATGCAGACCATATCGGAGTCAACCATGGCCTCTGCAAGAGCAATTTCCTGTCGGTTTTCTTCACTGCTGTTCCATTCTCGGTTTCTCGCGTTGAAATTCCCACATATGAGTAACCTATCACCTGGTAACTCCTCCAATTCCTTAAGCCAGCCCCATTGTTCACTTCTGACAAAACAGTCTAACGTTGCATATATATTTATGTGGTTCCAACTTAAGCCACCAATCTCCACCTGTATCCCTTGAACCTCTCTTCCACTGTGGTTCTACTGGCTCAAGTTAAGCACCTCATGCTTCACTCACTTTTTTACCACCATACCTTGTCGATGTCTCTCCTGTCCAACAGGGTTTATTTAACTGACGTATTCAAAGAACGATATATGTCTGTATTTAACTCCTGGATCATGGTGACATCAAAATCAAAAATCAATTTCTCTAGTACAGGACCTCTCTGCCTAGCACTCCGACAGTTCCAGTATCCGACTCTTACATGATTAAAGCTCAATTTCTCCGCTTTTCGTCTTGTTCTCCTAGCACCTGCCCTCCTATTTCTATGCCTTCTTCTCTCCCCATTCGCTTGTCGTCTCCTCCTCTTTCTCTCTCTTCACAAACTGCAAACATGTGTCAAACACAGAGCACGTGATCCGTAGCTCCGGTGACGATTCCTATGTATATTATTTAAATCCATGTGCGAAAAAATAGAGTACTGCAGGAAATGACCGGTCACTCTAGTATTTCCTACCTGCTAGGGAAGGGGCAATGGATGTCCCCTAGGAATCCATACGTACCGCCCCGCGCGCCTGCCAGACGCTCAACGTCCACGACCAGCTCACCCGTGGCCATCCAGTTCGTCAGCACGTTGGCCCACCTTGAACTTAGGGGTTTATATTCGGAGTTTGCCGTCTCCTAGATGCCATCTACCCGGGGAAAGGGGTTATAGTGCCCCGACCCGCTTGGCAGGCACATCTCCGAGCAAATAAGATATTTTATAAGGATTTCTGATCCCACCCTGAAATCCCGCTTCGCCCTCTGTGCCCACCGCCAGTTGGTCCGCAGCTGACCTTTGCTTCTTTATCTCATGAAGTGCCATGTAAGCCGACAACAGGCGACTGAAAGTGAAGAATATATCACTGAATGCAAAGCACTGGGAACGACATCCAAGGTCCATCGCCTTATTAAAACAGGCAACTCGGATACAAAATTCTCAAACTGTCCCAGCCCAAAGACAACGACATACCTTAGCATTCCCCTGCAGACACTCAGGAACCGGAAGCCATGTATGGCACTGACAGACCCTGCAGGCTGCCTGGTATCCAAGACCCCAGCTCCATTGGTGAACACAGAAAAGGTCAGATTCAGCTGGGTATAGAGGCATGTAGGCTGATCCTTTTGTCATTGTATCATCACTTAGAAGAGGTTCAGTCTCCCGATCCTCCTCTCCAATATCAGTGTATACTTTAGCTTTCGCATTCTCTTTCTCGTGGATATCTGATATTTTGGGCCACAACGATGTCACAGGCGGGGCTGATAATCATCAACAAACCACCAATAATTACCAGTAAAACGATAGCAATGAGTAGCTGTGCTCGTGTCTCTGTCCTCCTTGTGGTGGTTAACAGGGTCCCGTTTAAGCCCCAGCAGCTGATCACTTCACTGAAAAGCAAAGTGTTATCATTAACAGAGCAGGTTTCTGACCTGCAGGTTCCTAACTGGACAGGAAGCTGAACAGGGATACCGGCGAACTTTAAATTTGCCTTGAGAATGCAGTCACTTCCGTGGAGGTTCTGGCGTCTGTCAACAGACAGAGCTTAAGCACTGCACACCGAGCATAATTTCCAACAAAGATCCGTCTCGAAAGAGTCAATTCTGGACCAGGTTTTCCAAATACATCTAGAACCTGCATGGCCTATGGCTCTGGTTTAGCTAGCCCCGCCCATTAAAGCCCAGCATGAATGTATCATTAACACAAGCAGAAGTTAACATGTTACTAGCCAGTAACGTCTTCGTACTAACTACTTAACATACTCCTCCAATGTAGACTCTGAAAAAACAGCTGGATACCTGGCGTTATTACATCATTATTTCTAAGAAACTCTGAGAAGTTTATAAGGAATTTGTTTTTTCAAGTGTCTGCCGGAAACGACAAAACCACTCAGCTAATGTATCCACATCCACTTGGATTTTGATACTGTCTTTTCCAGCTGAGTAAGCCCACCGAACATAGAAACTTCTCTAAAGCTAGATTGGGTGTGATTGTTGAACAGGTACGAATTCAGACTATTGGCTTCTAAATAAATGCTGTCTGATGAATGAAGTAAAACCAAATGCATGGCTGTGATGGTGAACACATGTTTCCTCATTTCCACCATAACATGTGTCATGGTTAAAAATGGACGCAGATTATAACAGTGATTCAATACATAATTTTTCCGTTGAGTGATTAATCAAATCAAATTGAAAATTAAATGAAACAACCTATTTTGAAACGGAACCAATTCATTCGTCGGAAAAAACTATTCGAAAGTTAAATAATTAAAAATTTGCCTATCAGTATCTGCTCGTTCACATACACACGTATATGCATACATTTATGTGTCTGTGTGTGTAAAATGTAGTGTACGGATATGTACATGCGTTTCAGACTGCGGGAATCTAGACTGTGAAAATATGTCGGAAATAAATGTCACATCTTGTACTTGCAATTGCGGTGCAGCGACACAGGCTCCACCACACTGTACTTGTAAGTATTCATTTGCATATTTTCCGTTTCTAGCATTTAGCATCGTGTGTCTCCTTTCAGTGTAACTATAAATGTGACATTACACTGGTTTTTGCTAACGTTAGAACTATCATCTATTTTAGCTTTAGAAAGTAGTGGTTGTAACTGTAATAATAGCAACGGTGCCATTATTATTTACAGTCACTAAATTTGTGCTTATCGTTGTATCCCTAATAGAGTATTTGTAATAGCTGTAGCAAATTTTTGGAAGTTGCCGTGGTAGTAGTAGGTGTTATTCTTCTGCTAGCAGTAGTATATAGTAGTACACTTGTTAAAACAAACGCATAGCTACTGAAAGGAACTTACATACAGACAATTTTGACATTCAGCATATTTAAAACGCAATAGGTGAAATTACTACATTTTACACAAGAATGCTCTAGAGTTTCACCAATCAACTGATACGTTTTGGTGCATCCGGGTCACGTTTATTTTAGTAGTACGGCCTTTCCCGTTAGTATGGCGTCTGTGGCCTCTTCTTGTGCGGATCAGTGACTTGGTATTTCTTTGGCAAGGATGCGATCATATGTCTGATGTGGGCATGTGGAATGGATGCCTGCTATACTTGTAAAGACTAAGACAGATCACGACCTTTGGCTGGAGCAACGTCTCGGCGACAAACATGTCTATGCAGCTTATCCCACAGGTGCTCAGTCTGACTCATATCTGCAGACAGGGATGGACAGGGGAGGGTTTGAGTATTATTGGCAGCCAGGAACTAAGTAGTCAATCGTGAGAGTGGAGTCTGGCGTTGTCCTGTTGAAAAAGATGTATATTGGTATCCCAAAATTGAAGGACATTTCATGGACGTGTCGTTGCGCATTCAAACATACTTTAATGTACACCAGTTGACTCCTTCCATTGTAACTAATCATTCTCTACACCATTACACCTCCACCATAGAGCTTCAACAAAAATGTGGAGCTAAACCTTCATTTCACCTAAGGTAAACCCTACACCGTCTATCATGACGCTGCAACAAAAAGAAACAATCGTCACTGAGCCAGACACGTCTCCATTATTTGTCCCCTGCCCAGGTACAATGTTGGTTGTCCACAGAGGTCGCTTTGAGCCGTGGCGACGTGTAAGGAAAGGTCCTCGATATAGTCGCTGCACCTATAGTCCAACGCCTTGTAGTTTCTTCTGAACAGTTTGATCATTCACATGACTTCCTGGAGGCAAAGATAGTGCAGTGAAGGAAGCTGTTGTAAACCTGTCTCTGAGGTGACGAAGCCGAAAAAAGCGATTCTTTGCTGCTGTTATTGTCCACTGTGATGTCGGTCTTCAACTGAACCTGTGGCTTTGAAAAGGTGCCAAGAAGTCGACTGCTGGCACTCTGATGCTTATTTAGATGCCTTCAACCTAATTTTGACTTTCTCTTGCATGCTATTGGCCAATAGCAAGATTCCTTATATGTTTTAATAAAGGCGTCATTCGTGACGGCTCGAAAATGAACTGTGTTTTGGTGTAGTGTTATCCTTTTATAGGGATTAGGTTTCGTAGACAGTTAATAGAGTTCACCCCCAATTGTGTTGGTTTCTCGTGTGCTCATTATGAGCTATGCTCACACATATAGTCTCAAACATGACTGATTACTGTAACCATTACAAAAATCCACGCAACTCATGCCCACATGCCAACTGGACCTGCTAAACAAAATTTAAGACTGATTTTCACATACCCGAGTGCGATATTTTATTTACAATCTAATTAAAACACGCTATCGGAAAGCTATGCGTTTTTTTTTAAACATGTATATTATTTTTACTATCATTAGTAGTAGAAGCATATAGTCGATGAGTCGAAACAGTATAATGGATAGTAATAGTAGCAGCTGGAAGAAGCATTATTAGCAATTTCAAGGATAGTAAGAGAAGCAGCAATAGTGACAGACTATTACATCCTTTCTTCTTGGAAGTAGTATTAACAACATTATTAGAAACAGTAATAATCGTAGCGGCAATAGCTATAGTAGTAGTAGTGTTAGTTGACTTAGTCATACGTTTAAAATGGTCTTCGTTTTGGGGCAACCACGTCGCTTGCATCACGCTGTGAAAGTCCCGAGTTCGTTTCACAAATTTCAGCGTTTGGTTCAGGGGTATTCTTTTTTAGGATCATTGGGATCGTAAGTGGAACTATGGAGGGTTTTTCTTTGTGTTACCGCTTCGGTAGGCAATAAGCTTTTTTGCGGAGTGAGACGAGACCATGAAGGATCCAGTCAAGTTTAATTAAGCCGACTCAGTCGACTTTAATTATTCTTGTAATACCTGTAGTAGTAGAAACACTTGTAGGTGTAAATACACCAACAGCAGCTGCAGAAGCAGTAGTAGCAGCAGTAGATGCACCATCGGTTAGGTAAGTAGGTGCTTTGCTAGAAAAAAAAAAATCGTCACGTTTAACTAGCATCTCCGACAGGGAAGGACGCTTTATGTTTTAATTGTGACTAGGTTATGTGCGCCACATAAAATAGTTTAGCATTGCACGCCTCCAATAGCCCTAAAAAAAACTCCTACAGTCCTGATGCGACGAAAGACCCAAATACTATCCCTAACAGCGACGAAGTCGTCTACCGGCGAGCCAACAAGCGACTCTGTCACCGATGCATCATCGGTTACGACAGCAATAGTGATATTTGTTAATATTGTTAATATAACTTTAATAATTAGTAATATTTTTCAGCCACTTCTTCTTTCAACCGTCGTCGTCACCATCATCATCATAACCACCATTTTCATCTTCTAATTTATATCTCATATTGAAACACAATTCTTTAGCTTGTTGATTCTAGTCTCTAGGTTTTTGGCGATATGTTACCACTAGGGCCGTGTTCAGGACACTTTATTATTCCTCTACTGGGTTTTCCGTATTGTGTTTTCTTTTCCTTCTTCTGCATAGAGCATAATCCAGGACGGCCAGCACCAACACAAACATTATGTCACTATAATTTCTATTCAGTGCTTACAGAAACAGCAGTCACGAAAACCAGCTGCTGCACATTTACAGCTGCATAAGGCATACCGCAGATTCTGTGCCCACTAGCCATTTTCTGATTTTATAGTTTGCAACACATATCTAAGGGAGCACAGACTCCCCCCCCCCTCCCCCCCTAAACCCCCCCACCCCGAAAAAAAGTATTCCAGAAAAGATTGTACGGCCTACACAGTGTCGCACCATGCACCCAACTCCGTAGATGACCGACGGAACATGATTTTCCCTCTACATATTCTGTTGTTCATGCCTGTTCCCCCCCCCCCCCCCTGAGGTGTGTTTAATACAATACATCTAAACCACAAAAAGGATCCCAGCCTTACATAAGTTTCTGAAAATGTTACACTTTTGGTGAGAACTTTGCCATTAAAAAAAGAATGGAACAGACAATGCCAACATTGTGAGACTGGACTTTGAATATCTGCAGCCTCATACCCTCGCAAGATTGGTGAAACGAGTGTAAGGGGAAGACAAAACCAAAACTACATGAATGGCGAAGCCATGCAGATAGGAAGAGACAAGATAGTTAACTTTTTTTTGTGATTCTAGTAATAGAAAAAAAAAAGTGGGGGTTGGGGGGGGGGGGGGGGGTTGTTCGACACATGACAGCTTAACCGTGGTGACACAGCACTTGATGATGATTATTATTCTAATTAATATTAGTTAAGCGTAATCTTCGTACAAGTGAAAAGATACATTTTAGCTATAGAAGTCGGTGTTATCCCTTTAAAGTAGAAATAAAAAATTGAAAAAAAAAACAAAACAATTGAAGCCTTGCTATATCAGTCATTCTCTTCTGTTTGTATTCCCGGGTATATGCGGTGGGTGGGAGAGGGGTGTCGATAGACCCATTGCCCATCCCTCCACCCAACGTGCATTACGTAATAGGCGACTTTCTATGGGTTCTCCTTCAAAATCGGAATTAATCTGCCTTCGTGGTGAGAAACCAACAGTATCCATACAATTAAAAGTCATATTTGTTGAACGAGTTGTCCAAAAAAAAAAAATGAGTTTTGGAACAAGACCAAAGTTGAAAAGCGGACGAACACCTATAACAATTTCCACTGGAATGTACAACATGTGAACTCTAAAAACAAAAAGAATTATAATTGTTTGCTAGCAAAAGAAGTTTAGTTTGGTCTGGTTATAAATAGTCCCGTCCAATACAGATACATAAAGACAAATGAGGCGTTACGTTTAATTATGTTCTAATAGGCAACGCCACCACTGCGACTGTGGATTTGAAAGAGTGGCAGCCTCGTCAGTCTTGCAGAGTTAACGAGTATTTGTGACAATGGACGAAGTGATGTATACTATAAGTTGCACAACACAACTCAACATAAGTATTCTTCCAACCTGTAATAAGTAGCCTTTTACGAGATACCTATATAGGAGCAGTGGGTTTTTTTTTTTTAAATTTGGTAATTTAGTCTCAGAATCCACACATGCGTGTAACTATTTATATATACATATATATATATATATATATATATATATATATATATATATATATATATATGTATATATATATATATATACATATATATATATATATATATATATATATATATATATATATATATATATATATAAACTCACACACATATACACACACACACATTTTTCAGATACTATTTGCAATACTAGTCGTTCAGATTGCATTTCAAAAAAATAAAGTATACTATACATATACAGTGGACTACCCCCCCCCCCCCCCTCCCGCCCCTTTTCAAAGGAAAAAAAAAATATATTTTTACTCTGTCAAAAATTCTCCGATTATTATAAAATGTGGTACCAGTGATGATGATTTTACCCTGCATTTTCTGTCCTTGCCTTTGTAGCCCCCAACTGAGCTTAGGCCCTCAACCAACTCACGCCATGTCGTTCTATCCTTTGCTAACGCATGCGGCTCTCCCCATGTCTTCCCAATCTTTCTAACTTCATTCTCCAGCTCCATTCTCCGTATTTATTTTAAGCCTTTCTTTATTCCTAAGCCATGGTGGGTTCCAATGCAAAGACATTCTAGATATATTCTCTGGTTTTCTTCAATGTTTGTCCTGTCCAACGCCAATGTCTTTTCTTCATGTCTACGTCGACTGAATCTTGCTGAGTTCTCTCCAAAAGCTCTACATTTAGTGATTATATCATGCCAATTATTTCCCTCTATTCTTCGCAGGCACCAGTTAATGAATGTCTGTAGTTTTTTAGTAATTGCCTTTGTTGTTCTCCGTGTTTTCGTCCCATACAAAAATACTGATTTGACATTATAAGTAAACAATTTAGGTTAAGTATTTCTTTAAATTTCTTTTGACCTCCGCAAATTCTGTAGTGCTTTGAAAGCATTGGCGGATACTTAAACTCATCAAGCTTGGACAAAAACAAATGATGACAAACAACAGACAGCTGATAAAAACTTAGTTTATTCTCAAATTATGTCCTCTGGATCAAACAATGCGACATATTTCTATGGCGTGTGTGCGTGGCATCCTGATTGCGGTGGTGCGCCTCCTGGCTGGTTGCCTCCGACTTTAGCACCTTGTTTTGCAAGGGTAGACTGTCGCCATACTGGAGGAGAGTAGGCTCATCCCTTCGTCTTTCGCATTCACCTCGTTTGTTGTCCAATCCTGTTTCCCACTGGGGGTTGAAACCCCAACCTTCAACTGGATTGCTGGGAAGAACAGGGTCCACCACGTGAAGGTGAGGTAGGCTTGAGCAAGAGAGGCTAATAGACATAAAGAGTCTTGTATTGCGCATCATTGCTCCATTTGGACGAGACATACTCGTCTCCATTCCGTGGTCATTGATTGATTAGCTAGGTGTCTTCTGACTAGTGGCTTGAATACATCAATTCGTTCTTCATAGCCTACGTTTAGCTCAGGCAAGACTGAATCTTTTTATTCGTTCCAATAACCTGTTACCCTCCTGGGTTCTCGAACGTTGCACACACGGTTCTTGGATTTTTCGACTAGCACACCTCCAGTCAACATGCACCCTGGTCTCGAGTTATTCATTATTGGATGGCTACATCATATTTCGTACTCGATAACATTCAAGCGAATTTGAGCAAATATTTTACATTGATTTTAGTGATGCATTCAGTTAATTTCGTCGCTCGATGTCTTTTGAAACATTTTAAACAGAGTTCCCTTTATTACGATTCTGGACACATTACTTCGAGAAACTCCATACTGACGAGAAATTTGACGTTAGGAACTATGCTTTTGCAGATGTTCGTCCTGACTTAGAACAAGCTCGTTAACTGTATTTATGTTGTCATGAGTGCAGTCTATTTTCGGTCCCTGCCTTTCCGAAGCGTGGTCGTCTCAGTTTCGTCGATATTTCGCAGAAGGCATGAGTCTGCCTCACCTCCATTCCTTAAATATTCGTTGTGTACCATAATTTTGTTTTTCGAAAAACATTTATCGCCTTTTTTCGCTATTAGTGACGGCCATTCTGAAGCAGATGTAGCTGCTGGCACGACTGGAATTGGAACTCTGTGTTAGCTGCTGTTAAAGAGGACTGAGCCTTTATGTGAATGACCCGAGTGATGTGGTGTCGATTCTTGAACCAGTGTAGCTCAAATTGAAGTAGACGACACCTATAGGCTCATAAACGCACTGTGACAAGAAATGTGTAGCCCTTATATTCAAATTCTAAAAGAAGGCATTTTCATCAATATATAAACAAAATTTTATAATAATTGGATGAATTTTGGGTAGGGTTAATACAAATAGGATGATGTCTTCAAAGAAACTGACTCACGAAGAGACATTATTCTCCACTTCAGAAAGGTTTGGTCATGTTATGAGAACGACAAAACTAGTATACATCGTGACAGTAGGAAAGTTGGAGGTGGGAAGAGACAGAGGGAGACCAAACGTAAAGATCATGGTTTGAGGGACACTACTGCATGGAAAATCATCCGTGTCAGGGTTGATTGAAAGAAAACGAGAATGTTGTGGATAAACATGACTACCCACACCAAACGGCTTGAACTTTAAGAAGTAGAAAAAGAAAATATAACAAGTTTTTTTTTTCTTTTTCAAGATAAAAAGGAGGCGGGGGCCAAAAAAAAAAGGTGGGGGGGGGGGGGTGTTACGGCGAATATTCTAGGATGCATATCATGTACACAGGATATTTCTTTTTCAGTGGACTGCAGTAAATCTGATGATTTTTATTGTGGCACCCAGGAGTCTTTCAAGCTATCACAGTGCCATCAACCATTTGTGGTTTCCCGATGCCCTCATCTGTGCGGTATCTGTCCTTGTAAGTCAATTTTCGTGGTAAATGGTTGAGACCACGCACTTGTTTGTTGGTCAACAATACCTGTACAACTACCGCCCTTTCAGCCGGTGCATTTTCATTAGCAAGAAACAAATTGCCAAGTGTTGACTACCAATCAGCAAGCAACTTTTTTTGATTGCCCGTATCTTTCACTAACATGTTACGAATAGTCTCTGTATTTACACAAAATTCATCTACCATCATCCTCACAGTCGAACAACGATCTTCCTGTATCCGTTCTAAGTTTTAAACAGAATTAAATGTTAGCTTCTTTTTCTCTATGCTGATTTCGTGACAATGCACCTCTGACTGGGTTAACAAAATGGCTGCTTGTTTGTTGTCTACTTTTAGGACGGCGATTAAAAGTTATCAGAACATAGAAGAAGGTTGCCTCTTTAGATTCCATGCCTTACATGATAAATACTATCAGACATTTTTTAGGAGCAGGGTGTAAAATAGATGGTGCAAAAAGCAAAAGACGCTGAACAGACCTTAGACGGGGTCGGATATGCCCACCTCAAGGGTACCAGTAATGAATACATGAGGAAGACGTCTTTTCACTTCAACCAGAGCATCAAAACAGCGTCAGCACCCCAGGTTAATTTGAGCTGAGTCAAATATTGACATCACAGCACTCGGGGCATTACCATGCATGCTTCGTCCTCATCTTCAGAAGCCAGCCAGTCACAATCTGGTTATATGTCCGTCTTGCCTTTACTCTAAGTGTAGTGAGCCGGCCAAACCCTCTGGTTACACCCAGATGCCTCATAACCCGGGTTTGGGTACACAGCTATTTAGTCCTAGTTCCAAAACCAGGTACAGATCATTGGAGAATTAGAGGTGTCAGGATCAACATAAAAATACTTTAGGCAAATTGCTAGCGACAATTTTGCTGCTAAACCACACTTTTTAATGAATGGAGGAGCTTGTGCTAAGAAACCAGGGAACATACCGGCCAAGGAGAGATACATGGTCAAATATAGCTACTTTTGTTTCTGATACTTGTAATGGATTCCAAAAAGACTGGAGATGGTAGTGGCAGCAACTGACCTCAGTAATACCTTCAATAGAGGGATATACGGCACACTGATATTTTCGCTCATAGAGAAGAGGCTCCGTTCGAGGCTGGTATACTGGATAACAGCTGTACTATATTCTTGTATGGATGCCCTTCACCTAGGTACACGGACTTGAGAACTATGCAATATCGCCCTAGGATTAACAAAAGGTTCGGCAATGTCACCAGTGCTTCTCAACGTGTATACTATCAAGACTGCAAACAATAAGCTCCAGGTGTTGATAGGATACTGACATTGGCAGATGATAGTCTTGCATATAGGCAGTGGAGCGACTGACACAGACAACACAAGGGCGGCAGGCAATTGTAGACCGAGTAACTAACTAACCAAGAAAAGTAGGATTTATATGGTTCTTTCAGGACAGCATAATTATAAGCGATGATGTTCCAAACCGCACAACTAATGTTAGAAACATGAAAATTGAAAGCAACCTGAGGCACCTCGGTATCGCTTTCGAAAGAAACATGTACGCAGCGGTCGCGATAGCAGCAGCAGCGGTAGCAGCGGTAGAAGAAGAGGAAATAGATAAATTGTATTATGCATCATATCATACGTTTTGATCACAAATAGCATGTTTGATCAGACAAGTTTGCTTTCCTTCTTTCCCTCATACATAGATGACATACTGTATTTTGCGATAACAGAACTCCGAGTCTGTCTGTATGCATGCATGCATGCATGCATGCATGCATGCATGCATGCATGCATGCATGCATGCATGCATACATACATACATACATACATACAT